GCTCCTGGCCACCTGGACCTCTGCTACTTTTTGGACATTGCAGGAGGACAGAGTCCCTGCTGACAGGCCTCTTCTGGAAAAGACTGTTGAGGGGAAAAACAGGGAAGGGCAGGCTTCTTGCTTTTTTGGCTTCGAGATTCCCCTTTCTAGCCCTTACTCAGAATAACTGAGCCCAGATCAAAGGGCTCCTGGGGGCCACTCACCCACAGCTTGGTAGTAGGCCAGGAAGCCCTTGTAGAACATAATGGTGCCATTCTCCTCATTGGAGAAGTCTGTGTGGAAGGTCAGCAGCATCTTGCTCCCTTGGGAGATAAACTCTTTTTCTCCTGGAGGGTTGCCCAGTGGAGAACCCAGTTGCCCACAGAACCTCCCCAGGGTTTTCTTATCAGCAGAGATCTGGTGGAGGAAGAACATGGGGTCGGAGGAAGATCTGTTGAGTCTTATCCCATGAGGGCAGTCAGTGAACTTCCTCCGTGGCCCACTGCTGGGATGGCCTCCGACCTATCTGTCTCCTACTTGCCGCAGACTTCCCCTGGTGACTCCATCTGTCCACCTGGGTCCCCTCTTGGCTAACTCTGCATGTATCTGGTATGTGGTCCATCACCCCTTCCCTGCTTTATGTTCCCCAGCTTGATTCAGACCATTCTCCATGCCCACCATCTCCGTGCCCATCTTCCACCGGGCCCTTGCTGTCTCTACCCATCCTTTATCATCCTTCATTCCTTGAGCCTGGACCTGTCTGCTTGATTTTCTGTTACTCACTTGGTCAAACCACTCACATCCAGCCATGCCTCCTGATATACGCAGCTGGTGAGCCTCTGGGTCCCACCACCTTGACAGTGGCAAGCACCACCCAGCCTCCTTGGTTCTTTCCTCACCCCTCAAAAGCATGAGTGACCCCTGCCCCCCACCACATTCCTCCCTCTCCCTGCCACCAACCTTCCCTCCAACTCCCCCAAGTTCCCAAGCACTGTGGTCTAGGAAGATGCATCACCTCTATGTTATTCCTTAGCCTCTGGGGGCTCTGTTGGAATGGAATGGGGGGGGGGTGTAGGCTCTACTTGAGCCTGGAGACTCATCTTTATTGGATCTAGAATGCTGGGGCTGGGAAGGTGTCCTTGGTTATGAGGTGAGGGGACTGGGCCCATTGTCCGCGCTGGAGGCTATGCTTGAGCTGCCTCCACACACGCGCTCTTCCCTGTGTTCCTCTGCTCCTGTTGAGGCAGGTGACCTACAGCCACAGCAACACTCTCCATCGAAAGAGGGACTGCAGTTTCCCCAAGACTGCAGTTTCCCCAAGACTCCCAGCAAGTCAGCAGATGGGGAAGGTTTTTCTGACTCCTGCAGACAGTATATGTCCAGAGAGTGGAGCCTATACCATCCTGTGCTCACTGAGGACCCCTAAAAACAGTGGGCACCCCATCCTGGCATCACCTGGCTCGCAGCGCTTCTCCTTTGGCTCTTTGGGGGCTGGGTTGTGTCCTCGGGTGGGGAACACGGGTCCGCAGGTCCCAGACACACCCAGTCTCACTGCCTTCCCGGCCTGCCCCCCTACCTTGACATAGTCATATAAGCAGCTCTCAGATGGCTCCAGGTCAAAGTGCCAGAAGGTCAGCTTCACCCTGTATCCAGTGGGGACTGTGATCACAGTGGTTGTCTCTAAGTTGCTGGGGTAAGGCTTGGGATACAGAGGGGAAGTCACCTCCCCAAAGAGCTTCTGAGGCAGGTGAATGGAGCCTTCCACCCTGCAGAACAGGACTGGCACCAGGAGGGATAAGAGCCACCTGCCAAAAAGAAAGGGGGTATCTGTGGGGCTGGAAGGTGGGCACCTTTGCTGTTTGGGCAGTGGCGGGGGCAGTGGATGAAATGATCACATTGCAGACGTTTTCCCTCTGACCATTCTAGATCTCACCAAATGTTCCAGGGGGAGGAGGTGGGGTAAGGGATGCGTCTGCAGTGCTTGCACTGGGTTCTCCTCCCCGGGGCAGCGTCCAGTCCAGAGGTCATCACTGTCCTTCACCTCCCTCCCATCGCTCCCCTCCCCTTCCCGGAATGGGACTAGTCATGGCCTCCAAAAGGGCTCGCAAAGGACCCTTAAAGGCCTCTGACAGAAACCTCCATAAAATATGGGGTGACCTACAGAAGACACCCCCCCTGAGCAGAGTGGGTTCCCCCATCTCACTGATCCTGTGCTGGGATGAGGAAAGGAATGTGGCCATCACCTCATGGGGTTTAAGGTCTCCTTTTGTCCTCGAGGGGAGAGCGGGGTGTGTGCATGTGTGTGCTCCTTGGAACAGGTAAGGTGTGTGGGGAGGGGACAGTGTGTCCCTCTCCCTGAACACAGTGGGGAGCAGTGGTGTCTCCCAAGCTCGGGTTCTCCTCTGTGGCTTCTCCCTCCCTCCTTGGTCCCCCTCATTACTCACATATCTCAAGGTCGGTTTGGGTCTCCTGCACTCTCCCGAAAGCGTCTTCATCCACTGTGTTGAGGCAGAGGACGGTCATGCAGAGGAGGGAGCGGATGGGATGACGGTGGAGTGGGAGGTGGGGGAAACCCTTCCCGGAGGAATGTTGTAGAGAATGAACTATTTGCATAAACAAAAAAAATCTGTTTTCAGTTTAATTCAGTTTTGGTTTTGAAAGTGCTGATAGTGGTGCCACCTGCTGGCCCGCTAGGGGAAGGGCCCGCCTGAGCTTTTAGGGACAAGTCATTGGCCTGAGGCTCAGTTTCTAATTCTGAAAGGAATTCTCCCTTCTTTTAGGGCACTTCCTCGGGACTGCTGCTGTGCTAACAAGAGTCCTACCCGGGGCGATGGAAGTCACAGTGGATGGATTCTATTCTTGGACTGCCTTTGTCCATTGCCCGGCTCTTTCTGTCCTTAGTCATCCAGCAGCCCTGGTATGGGGTTTCGATGCCCAGCTGATGTGATGGGAACAAAGGCAAGAGGAGGGCAGTGCAGGACTGGACAGAAGAGAGTGGGGTTGCATGGTCCAGGGCCTGGCCTACTTCCCTCATGAATGATGCTGAGATGCAGAACAGGGACTGCTGTGGCAGGGGGACCCTAAGCAGCGCTTGGGTCTGTTATAAGACCCTTCCTTCCCACCTCAGTGGACTCTGGCCTGCCAATGACCTTGGCTCTTAGGAAAGCAATTGCAGCTGAGAAGGAGGCAGGAAAATCCTCTTTTCCTCTGCATCTGGTCAACAATTGGCATCCCCAAGGGTAACAAATGTGTAGAGCAAAGCAAAGAGTGTGGCGATGGACTGAGATTGACCGTTTCTGAGATGAAGTAAGGTCTCTGGGAGGGAGGACAGGCTCTGCCTCTCTTGCCCACCAGGCCATAGTGTCCTGCTTTAAAAGATGCTCTTTCTCTTTCTCTACCAACTTGCTATGCTCTGGCACCCTGCACCACCTGGAGTTATAGGCCTCTATTTTCTCAGCCTCTGTAGCCTGTCCTGCTTGTGTCTCTCAGGCCTCTATAGTCTGTCCTGTTAGAGCAAGCCCTCCATCCCCCCACCCACCCATTACCCATTTATGGGTGTCGACACTTTCCCAGGAATGGATTGCAAAGATTCATGAAGATGGTGTGGTTCCGCACTAGCTGGTGACCAAGCAGGCACTGGGTGTAGTTCGAGAGGCATATGGAAGATGCAAGAGGACCCAAGGTTTGGAGGGGTTCTCCTGCAGGCTTATACGTGAAGCAAATGGCAGTGGGGGTGGGGGGAGCTGAGCCACCAGGTGACTAATGACATGACCCATGACCTTGTCATGTCAGGAAGACAAAAGAGAGGGGAGGATGATGAGACCAGATCAGGAGACATGAACGAAGTGGGATCTTGTCTAGCACATCACACATTAATATCCTGACAGCAGTGTGTGTGTGTGCACACGTGCATGGTGGGGGCAAGATGGCAGAAATAAGGGTCAGGGAAAAGGTAGTCTAAGAAGGTAAGTCTTAGCTGCAGCTCCCCCATGCACCCCAGGGATTCTGAGTTCTGCCCTGCTATCATGCATCATGCAATGTGACTAGAAAGTGACAATCTGGACCCCATTAGCTCAGTCCCAGCTCTGCCTCCACTCAAAATAATCTTTACTTACACATTTGTTTCATCCCCTTGACTTAAACCAAGAATAGAAAGAAGAAACTGCCTTATGAAGATTGCACAGGCACTTGTTTGAAAACCAGTATTGAAGAGATTGTCTGTTATAGTGTTCATTCCTGTTAGGATTTGATTCCAAGGGAAAAGTTCTCTCTTTAAGTAATGATAGGATTCCCTATGTGGGTATTATCTATACCTATATTATCTATATCTATGTCCATGTCTATATATTTGCAGCAGTAACAGATATGAAGACATAGATATAAAAATATTTTTTTGCTTTGGTAGGGAGATGCATTATTTTTCTAATAAAAAATAAATACAACCAATAAATGATCATTTAGTCAAATTTAACAAATGAAGAATAGGGGAAAATAAAATAGTCAAATTATAACACCTAAAACAATCTTTGTTTTTTTTTTTTTGTTTTTTTTTTTTTATAAATTTTATTGTTATATTCCCCATACAATTGCAGCGCCCCCATTCTGACCCCAATCCCTCCCCTCCCGCCCCTGCCCCCCTAAAAGTGTCTCTGGTTCATAGTTTTTTGTTGATTTTGATTTTCACTTTCTTATAGTTATTCATTTTCCTGGTCCCTTATTTAAGTTTTCTAGATTCCTGCTATGAGTGAGACCATCCGGTATTTTTCTTTTTCTTTTTGGCTTATTTCGCTGAGCATGATCCCTTCCAGCGCCATCCATGTTGCTGCAAATTGCATGTGTTTATCTTTTTTGAATGCTGAGTAATATTCCATGGTGTATATGTACCACATCTTCTTGATCCAGTCATCTATTTTTGGGCATTTGGGTTGTTTCCAAAGCTTAGCTATTGTAAACAGTGCTGCTATAAACATAGGGGTGCAGGTGTTCTTTGGAATTGATGTTTCTGTGTCCTTTGGGTAAATACCTAGGAGTGGAATTGCTGGATCATATGGAAGCTCTATGCTAAAACAATCTTTGAATAGTCTTCTAGAGTATAGTCTTTTGTGCTATGTATAGGTTTTTAAAATAGAACTGTCTCCATGTACATATTTGAATGTTGTCATTTTTAAAAAAGATTTATTTTAAACTGGGGTACAGGCTAGAGGTGCAGAAGGGTGAGAGGATTCACCAGACACAGAGTGGGCAGCAGAACAGGCAGACTGACTGAAATACATTGCTGAGGGGAGCAGCGGGTGAGGCAGGAAAGGTCTGCTGCACCATGTGGGTCTCTCCCTGGCCAGCCGGGGATCGAACTTATGCTGCAGAGGCTGCAGATAGCTTCAGAGTGCTGTGCTTAACCACTTGTGCCACCAGGGAGGCCCTGAGTCTTGCCATTTTTCAAAGATAAATGTAACCTTTAGCCAAATAGCTAACTTGGCTTTCTTGGCTAGCAAATTTGCTCTCTTCTCTGTTTTATGGTATTCATTTTCTATTTCCATTTGAACACTTGTGTTTTGTGTCTTTTATTGTGAATTGTCTCAACTCCTTGCTAAAAATTTAAGAATTGATCTCAGGTGGAACATGGATTTCGTGGTGTCCAGTAGCAGCAGGGAGGGTGTCTGCAGGAAAATCCAGCCCAGCGCTGGGCTCAGCTCCTGTCTGCAGGAGATGTGACTGGAGGAGAAGCGAGAGCCAGGTATTGTCATCTTCCCTGAAGCAGGGGCTTCTAGGGTAGGGGACTCTGTAAAGATGGAGGGATTGGGAAGGGGGAGCAGTCCTGGCTGTGGGATCTGGGCATGTCACTTGCTCTCCTGTTTCACTTGCTTCAGTTTCCTCATCTGTAAAACATGGCCAACAACACATTCTTTGCAAACTTCTTGTGAGGAGTCAATGAAATGACACCCGTGAAGCACTTGGTATATAGAAGATGTCAAACAAATAAATGAGCTGTTACTATAATTGTAAGGAGGAACTGAGGTGGCAGGTGAAGCCATTAGGGCAAATATTTGAAGGTTAACTAAAGGGGCTTTGGAAGGTTTCAGAAACGAAATGTGATTCAGAACATTCCGCCCAACTCCACCTGAACTGGGAGGTGAGGCGGTGATGGGCTTCCCAGGAGAGCACAGAGGAGGCTGTGTTAGCAGGATGTGAAGTTCAAAGTGAAGGTGGCCCTGGATGCAAGGCAAGGTGGAGGACGAGCAGGAGGGGCTGTGGGACGCCCCTTCTTATGCCGGGTGGCAAGGGGTAGAGCAGAGAAGTGACTGGACTAGGGGTTCTCTGCCTGCCCTGCCTCCCCACCTGGGAGGTCCATCCTCATTCCCAGCCTCCTCCTGTCTGGGGCTTCCACAGGGCTGCTGTGTTGCTCATTCCCCTGCTCCCCACTCAGGGTCAGTCCTTCCCGCCCATCACACCCTTGATCCAGTCCACGTAGTTGAGCACCTTGGTGTAGAAACCATACCCTTCGCCACACCCAACGCCCCACGAGACGATGCCCGTGGCCACCCAGCGGCGGGCACCGTCATCCCACACCACGAACGCACCGCCACTGTCCCCCTGGCAGACCCCCTGCGCCCGCTTCTCGTCCCCCACACAGAACATGTTGTCAGAAAACACCTCCGTCCTCCGCTGCTGCCGGAGCCAGGCCTCACAGGCCCGCCGCGGGGCCACGTGCAGCCCCGAGTACTTGAGCTCCGCGGGGAGCCAGCCCCTGTCCACACCGAAGCCGCTCACGTAGCCCCCCAGGCCGCTGCGGTAGAGGCGCTCGCTGTCGGGGAGACACACCGGGAGGAGGCTGGGCCCCAGGGGTACGCGGTGCTGCAGCTCCAGGAGGGCGATGTCCCCGTCGAAGTTGCCAGACTCGTCCTGGCGGTAGTCGGGGTGCACGACCACGCGCCGCACGGGGCGCTGGCCCAGCTGCAGCATCTCGTCTACGCCCGTGTGGCCCAGGAACACATCCACGCTCCGGTTCTTCCCCGGGAAGACGCTGTCCTTGGGGTAGATGGTGTGGGCCGCGGTGAGGACCCACCTGTCGCCCAGCAGCGCTCCGCCACCTCGGCCATAGACACTGGTGAGGGCTTGCCAGGGGAAGGCGCCCCGCTTGGCTTTGGAAGAACCGCTGGCCTCCTGGATGGGGTCTATGGGGGTGACTGGCCGACCGCAGACTGCAAAAGAGGAGAGGCAGGGGTGAATGTCAGCAGGCGCCGCTGGATGGGGTCACTAGAGGCCCACTTCTGTGAGGTGCTCTCTCTTCTGTCCTCTCCATCACTTTTTTTAAAAAAAGTTTTATTTTTGTTTATTTATACATACGAGAACTGGGGTGTATGCCAGGGGTGGAGAGGTGGGGTGGTGAGAGGATTCACCGGAGAGAGAGTGGGGAGCAGAACAGGCAGAGGGACTGAAATACACTGCTGAGGGGAGCAGTGGGCAGGACAGGAGAGGTCTGCTGCGCCATGTGGGTAGCTCCCTGGCTGGGGATCAAACTCATGCCACAGTGGCTGGCAATAGCTTGATAGTGCCGAGACTTTAATTTCTGCACCACCATCAGAGCCCCTGCCTCTGCCATTTTTAAATCACCTCTTTAGATTCTTGGTGGGACCCTCCTCAGCTGGGTAAGGCCACACACTGAGCAGAGTCTGTCTTCAATGCCTCTTGTCTCTGTTTTCTGTGTCATTCCCTTGTTTGTAACATTGCCGTCTGCGCTCTAACCTATTTGGATTCCCAAAGCACCACTTCAGGCTGCTGCTAGAACTTTCTGTGGGTAGGTGTCAAAGCTGAGGAATTTACTCAGATTCAGTTAAAATGGTAATGTTTCAACTAAAAAAAAGTAAGTTTCAAAAAGGGTGGCCTTGAACTCTCATCTCTTGCTGGTGGAAATTTAAAATGGCGCAATCACTTTGGCAAATAATTTGGCAGTTCCTCTACAAGTTTAAACACAGAACTGTGGTAGAACTTGGCATTTTCACTCCTAGGTATACACCCAACAGAACTGGAAACTCATGTTCAAACAGAAACTTGTATGTGGGTGCTCATAGCAGGATTGTCCATAAAAGACAAAAAAAAAAAAAATGCATGGCGCATGGTGAGCAAATGCATTGATGCATGGTGAGCAAATATGGTACCTCTGTTCAGTGGAGTTCTATTCAGCCATGAAAAGGAATAGAGTACTGATCCTACAGTGTGGGTGAGTCTTGAAAACATGATGCCAAGTGAAAGAAGCTAGACACAAAAGGCCACATGCTGTCTGATTCCAGTGATAGGAACTGTCCAGAATAGTCAGGTCTATGGACAGAAAGTGGATCATTGGTTGCCAGATGTTGGATGAGGGAGTGTTGGAGTTTCTTTATGGGGTAATGGAATATTCTGGAATTAGTGGTAATGACTGTGCACCATTGCAAATATACTAAACATGACTGAATTTTACACTTTAAAATGGTAAAAATGTGTGTTTTAGGTTATGGGAATTTTATCTCAACAACAACAAAAAAAGCATAAAATGTAAGAACTTTCTGGTACTGTGGCATGTAGATCAGGAGATATTTGGGGGGCTGAGAACCTGTCTGTGTATCTTTATTTATTTATTTTTTAAAAACTTTTTTAAAAAGATTTATTTATTTATTTATACAAGCACTGGGTACAGTCAGAAGCGTGGGAGGGTGAGAGAATTCACCAGAGCCAGAGTGGAGAACAGAACAGGCAGACAAAGTACACTGCTAAGGGGAGCAGCGGGAGGCAGGAGAGGTCCGTGCGTCATGTAGGACCCTCGCCCAGCGGCAGCTACGCAGCCCAGCGCTCAAGCGCTGCACCACCAGGGGAGGCCCTGTCTGTGTATCTTTAAAACTACCACACCAACAAAGGGTTTTCTCTTATTTCAGGAGAAATACTTTCCCAAATGACTAACTTCCTTTGTGCTTTTAGTTTTGTCAATTACCTAATGATTCTCAAAGAATAAGGACAAGATCCTTGCTTCTCCTTTTTGGGATCTTCTGGTTCCTCTTTCTTCCCCACATCCTGCCTTTATCCCCCCTATCAATTCAAAGGCTTTCCTTTAACACTGTGTCCTGCCCTGCAGGCCCAAGGACAACTTGGCACCTTTGGGAGGTGGCATAGTCACTGTGCTGAAGGGACGTGACTCACCGGGCACACAGTGAGGAACTTCCTTCTTCATCCAGGGGTACTGGGCTGTGCAGGTGAGTGTCTCTGAGGAGTGAAAGGAGGGGGCAAAGGATCAGAATTGAGGGTGTGGGGCTAAAAGAGTAGGTCTCCAGAGTTTGGGAGAGAGTGAGACAAATGGGAGCCAGATCACCAGTAGATGGGGGACTCACCTGCTTCATAATAGGGCTCCCAGCAATGGCTCTGGATCATGGAGGGGTCATGTTCAGGTGTGTTGATAGCCTCAGGTTCCCTGCTGGCCTGATTGGGGGTCTGACTGTTGTACACACCTACAAGAAATCAGTGGCCATTCAACTATAAAATAATAAGAAACTGGCAGCCCAAGGACTGATTTTGGCCTGTACCCATGTACAGTTTGACCTGCATGGTCCTTATAAAAAGACATTTAAACTATTTTTTACTGATCAAATTGTCAATGTTAAAACGTATGAGAATAACTGTGATAGGTAGGGTGTGGGGAAATGTTCATACATGGTTAGTGGGAGTGTACTTTAGCAAAACCTCTTTACAGGGATATTTAGCAAAAGCTAAAGTAAAATTGCAAATTTTTTTTATTGAGCATTTGCATTTCTTTTTTTTTCTAAAGATTTATTTATTTATGCATACAACAGCTGGGGCTCAGGCCAGAGATGTAGGGGGTGAGAGGATTCACCAGAGACAGAGTGGGGAAAAGAATAGGCAGACTAACTGAAATACACTGCTGAGGGGAGCAGTGGGAGAGACAGGAGATATCTGCTGTGCCATGTGGGTTGCTCCCTGGCCGCTGGGGATTGAACTCATGCTACAGAGGCTGCGGATTGATTCATAGTGTGGTGCTTAACCCCTTGTGCCACCAGGGAGGCCCTGTGCATTTGCATTTCTAAGAATTTAACCTCATACACATGCACAAAGATGTACATACAAGATACCCATCACAGGACTGATGTGGCAGTGAAGTATTTCTCAATGGAGGACTAAGAACACCAGGATGCATCAAGGAATATTATATGGCCACTAAAAAGAATTAGGCAATGCTAACCTTAGGAATATGTGATGGTTTTAAAGATATATCAGTGAGTGAAAAATATCAAATTTAAAACATTTTAACATTATGCAGCTTATGCACACACACAAACACACATTTTTGAATGGCATAGAATGACTTTGGAAGGATACCCAGCAAAAGGAGAACAGGGTTATTTCTGGAGAAGGTAGCCAGGGACTAAGGTCAGAAATCAGAGGAAGACTTACTTTTTACTATATTTTTATTTTTATTTTTCACTATATTTTTAAAAGAAGTTTTTATCATCTGTATTATCTTTTGGAAAAATGGAGTTATCATTTGAAAATTAGAATTTCACTTAAAAATCTATTTTTTTTGGGCTGTTCTTCAAAAGCAAGATGACCCATAAGCACTGGGCCTGTAAATCTGAACAGAAACAACCCCAGTAGCTGAGCACAGGCCAATTTAATTGCTTACCCTCAGGGGTGAGGCTGGGGTGGGTCTGGGTTAGGTTCTGGTGTCCCTGTGTCCCCAGCCTCAGCAGTCACTCAAGCTTCCACCAGTCCCTTCAAGATGGGGGGGTATGGCTTGGGACAGAGGCAGCCTCCTTGCCTCCTCAGGAGGGACACTCACCCACCGCGTGGTAGAGGGCCAGGAAGCCCTTGTGGAGACTGGTGGTTCTCTCCTCAGAGGAGGCAGGTACACGAAAGGTCAGCCGTAAACTGCTCCCTGAGGACACAAACGCCCTCTGACCAGGGGGGTTGCCCAGTGGGGAGTCCTGCTGCCCACAGAACCGAATTGGCTCTATCCCATTGGCTGTGATCTGAAGGGGAGGAGAAGATGGGAACAGGCAGGTGGCATGAATCTGTACCTGGTCACAGGTCACTCCATGGGTGTGGACTCCAAGCAGTCCCATCTAGAAGGCCTGCCCCCCTCAGGGGCTCAGAAGCTGCACCTCATAGGATCTTCCTCAAGCAGGTTCCTGTTTCATCACTGATCCCCAAGTTTCTTTTAGTCTAGCATATTTCTTTGGCCTACTGCAATGAGCTCATAAAGCCTACCAAATTACCTCCTTTCAAGAAGTTCCCCAATAGTCCACTGGATTGTAAGTCTTAGGAAGGCAGCAATTACATTGAATTTGCTTACCACCCAGGCCCTGATGCTTAACATGGCGCCCATGGCACCACAGCTTTGAGGCCCTGCACATACAGGCACAGGCCCCTCCCATTGGCTTCCTCCACCCTCATTGCTTCTAACGTCTTTAACTTCCTGTGGGGCCAACAGCTGTGAAGCAATGAGACCTGCAAAGACTGAGCTCTGGGGTCCCTGGCCTTTCCTTCTTTGGGAGTGTCCCTCTTCTACCCCATGAACTGTAAATGAAGCCCCCACAGGTGGAGTCACACACACCACAGTGTACACAGTACAGGCACACTGGGGTTCCGGTTTGACTTAATCTGTTCTGTAAGTAGGTTATTTCTCTTTCAGTCCCCCTCTGACTGCCTTGGCCCTGCTCAGACCCCTTCCTTCTGAGGACCCCTTGGAAGGTCCTCCCCCAGCCCACACTTCAGGCAGGGCCTGTATTCTGGGCACATAGCTCACTGCTCAGCTCATTTCCTTTCTGACTTTCATATTGGGCCACGTTTCCTGGATGCTTGCCAGCTTTTCATTCTCTCATTCTCCCTAAGTCTCAAGTTCCTTTAAGACTCTGTCCAGCCCATCTTGCTGTGATCACATTAACTGGCTCATAGTTGGCACAGAGAAACTTTCTAGTCACCCCAAATGCCTTCCTTGGGCACGTGCCAATATTGTTCTTTTCCTTAGAACATTGGCAAGTATAAGTCCCCATTATTTAAGAGGCGTAGCTCTTGGGGGGAAAAGCATTAGGTATAGGAAATGGTTCTTTAACTGATTTTTTTGGCTGTAAAAAAAAAAACAAAAACCAAAAACCAAAAGCAAAACAGCAGGTCCAAAATGGAATCTTTCATGCTAACGCCCACCATGACTTAATACCTAGTCCAACTGCAGTTTCAGCTTTTCTGAAAGTGGAATTCTAAATCCATGAATCTGGAGTTTCCGAGTTTGCACCTGTGAGGTCACCTGCATGATAAGACCCTCCCTGCCTTTAGCAGTAGAAGTGGCTTTGCCTGAAGTAATTTTTCTTTGGTTAATGAGCTTATCTCACCCTCTTTCTAGAAATAAAAACCTTCCATTTTAGGCAAGTCCTTGCAGAGCCCTGTGGCTTGTTAGAAGGGATGGTGCCCAATTCACGATCATTCATTAAAGCCAATTAAACCTCTAAATTCAGATGAATTTTGTTCTTTTCCCTTGTAAAACCTACCAGTTTTCTTTTTATTCTTCCTCATGAATTGCTGGCCAAATAAAATCACTTAGGAGTTTAACTAGCAAAGCAGAATGAGCACACAATGAGGAGTCATACAATATAAGATCTGAGGTAAATTCCAGACTGTTCCTAATTCCCTGTAGGACATGGGAATTTCTTAACTGACTCAGATGTCAGTTTTCTCTTCTATAAAATGGTCTGTGAAACCTCATCCAGCCAGGACAACATTGCACCCTACGACACCTCTCTAGCATGTGCTTGCAGAGTGTCGGGAGCTGATTCAAAATTCATTCTGTTGTGTGTCTTGCACACGTGGCAAGTTTGGATTTCATTTATTCTTTTATTCACCAGTCAACAAATGGTTACTCATTATGTTTTATATGTGACGTGCTGGGGTAGGTGTGGGTAAGACAGACTTCTGTTACTCAACCCACAGTCTGGCTGATCACTGACAGTAAAAAAATGAACTTGACTATAGTGTGTTGAATTCTGCATTCAAGGTGGGTGGGTGTGACTTGCTCTGACGGCAAAGAAAAGGTGGAGGGAGGAAGCCTAGTCCTGAGCTTGAACTTCAAGCTCTTCCCTTGAAAAGGGAAGAGTCAGGCCAGGATTAAAATTAAAATTGTCCTGTGTTCATGATAGGTACTCAATAGACCTAGACCCAACTGAAAATGTGTTTTCCTGACTTCTGCTTAAATCTGAAGCAATATTTTAACAGAGGCATCTCCATAGAAGGGAAGTACCATGTTCCCTGCCCCACTTAATGAGGGGCAGAGCTGAGTGGCCAGGGGAAGCTATAGACACGAAGGCAGGTGGACTCAGGGAGACATGTGAGGAAGAAAGGTGCATCCTTCTTGGTTTTTGACTTGCACCAGGGACTTGGGGGATTTGGGGAAGACACATGGAATCAAGACATGTAGAGATACTTGAAAGAGGTTTGTGGGTGAAAGACCTGTGGGGAGGCTGACTGACCTGTGGGGAGGCTGACCATGGCAGTCATTATCTTGATTTGTACTTTGCCCCTTTTTGCCTTTTTTGCCCTATTTGCCCTTTTTGCCCCTTCCCTATGGTCCCCTGCCAGAAGGTTCCTTAGATTTGTAGCAAATCTAAGCCTGTCATTTGACAAATTTTATCTATCCACAATGAGCATCCAGTATATTCTAGTACTTTGTTCTTAAATATGAAAGAATACTCAAGGCTTATCGGAAAAGTCCCTAACATGAAAAACAGAGACCAAAACAAACAAACAGTAAAAAGGAACGTGGATGAAGCAGAAATAATATAGAGAAGAAATATTTTAAAATAATCCCAACAGAGGGACAATGATAGCTATTGTCTCCATGTAACAAGAACAATGTTTTATGAAAAGGCAATTTAGAAAATAAAAATAAGCCTTTAGATGGAAAAATATGTAAGTAGAAACAGTTAATGTTAAAAATTGGTATTTAAAATGAGGAAATCTCCCAGAAAGTGGAATAAAAAGACGAAGAGATAAAAAACAGAACAGAATGGATAACAAAACCAGAGAATCATTCCAGAATATACATAATAGCTAAATTTCAGAAGCTCTAGAATGAGAAAATCAAGAAAATAGACATCTAGAAATTATTAAAAAACAACAAGAACATTCCTAGAATTGAAGGACTAGATTAAAAAGAGTCTCTAGATTAAAAGAATCCTGTGCAATGACTACAGAATGACCCGCATATAGCACATAATAATGAACACTCAGTATATTGATAATAAGGAAAATAAAGCTCTCTAAAGAGATAAAATTCCTAGAGTTCTAGAGTGAATGCAACCCAGATCAACTGCCCCTCAACTGGGAGGGTAGAATAAAGACATTAGGGAAGTGTGAGACCCTCTAACATTTAGCTCCCACTGTGCCCTTTCTGGTGGAGAATGTGTTCCTTCAAAATGAGGGTATAAAACAAGATGATAATGTTATGGGATACAGTTCCAGGACAGGACAGTTAAAGGAAATCCCCAGAATCAGGGAGAAGGGAGTTCCTATAATATGAAGGAGAAAGTTCTCAGAAGGAGAAAGAAACCTTCCAGAGATCTTCAGGTGGGATGTCAACAATAAAAAAGATAAAGCAATTCAGATATGTATTTGAATATGCCACGAGATTTATTCTGGCTAAGAGTTTGTGGGAAGATTAGTTTAGAGAGAACTAAGCAAACTGAAAAATTGAAACAAAACAAACAAAACCCCTCAAGAACTCCATCTAATTATTGACTCTAGGGAAAATACAAAGTTGTGGAAGAGAGGAACTGTGACTGTACACCACATGCCTAGATACGAATGTTTTATAGTCCTCACAGTGTAAATAGTGAATATAAACATGGAGGGGTTCAGAAAAAGTCTCCCCGAGAGATGGCCCTTTGGTATGTGGATTATTTTGAGTTGAGGCAATTGAGATCTTGAAGGCTCAGGAGAAACTTTTGCCTCTTGAGACAAACACCTAGAAAAACACCTAGAAGAATTTACATAGGGACCTTACCCATGAACTATCTGAATGGCAGGGCAAACATCTAATTACCAAACATCTATTCTTATTATGTTGTGAATTATTCTTTTCCCCCTTTGAAGCCCCAGGCTCTTATTCATCTTTAGCTCAAGGTAGCACATACACGCAATTTTACCTGTGTCTGTGAGCTTCTATGCCTATGAAATTAAGTTTGTTTTTCTCCTGTTTATCTGTCTTATATCAATTTAATTATTAGACCAGTTGAAAGGAGCTTGATGGATAGTGGAACACTTTTCCTTCCCTATAGATGTAACTAAAAATGATAATGGAGGTGGAGAAAGGAGGGTACTAAAGATTCAAGAGAAATAAAACCAATCCTCATCTTCTACAGTTGGAAATCAATAGTTAATATGCAAAAACCAAAAGCAAACCAGAATAAATATGGTATTTACACATATGAAACTAATATCAGATGAAACAGCTACATGATTGTAAATGATTGTCCCTAGGGCATAGTGATGGGTGGAGAGGACAGTTGGAATCTGCTGTTATTCATTGTAAGTCTTGTAACTCTGATTAAAAAAAAAAAAAAAACAACAAAAATTGTGCATGAATTACTTTGATATATAAACTTAAACCAAAAGATAATATAAAGTAGTATTTTTAAAGAGTCTATATTCAGATGAATGCCTCATCATAAGAAGTTTTGTGATTGCTTCTCTAAGGCAAAGACAGTTATCTGACCCTTTGGTATTATTTATACCCAGCTTTCTGGCCTGACAAAGAGAGCGCTCCATGAAATCTGGTGGTGTATTTTTCATGACCGATTATTTAATTCCTTTTTCTTTTTCTCTCGGAATTTGTGTGGCCCTTTGTAAGACCTCAGGAGGCAGAATCTGTCCTGCTGCCCAGACCTTTGCTCCATGGGGCCCTGATTGCAGCAGGGCCTGGGTTCTGGTGGGGGCTGGGCCCTGGGGCAAACCTGTTTCTCCCAGGGAAGCCAGGACCTGAGCTCCTGACTCAGGCTCTTCATCCATCCTCCATGACCCAGGGTGCATCTGCCTCCCACTGCCCCTGGGCTCCAGGTTAGCAGCCTCCCTTCCCAGAGTCCCATCAGTACCCCAGCCCAGCTCACTGTGACAGAGTCCAGTTCACAGTCTTGGGATGGCTCCAGGTCGAAGTCCTGGAAGATGAGCTTCACAGCAAAGCCCTCTGGAGCCTTGATGTCAGTGGTGCTCTCTTGGCCTCTGAGATATGGCTCTGGATACCCTGGGGATGTCAGTTGCTGGGGTAGCTGCTGGGCCAAGAGCACAGAACCTTGTGTGGGGCAAGCCTGGAGGACTCCCCAGAGGAGCAGCCACCACCTGTGAGTGGGTGAGGATGAAATTAGGTTACACACTTGTGGCCTGAGGCCTGCAGAAATATGAGGAGCCAGGCAGGTCATGCAAGGGGATAGACAGGCCTGGCTAAAACTTTAGTGACTGTGGCATCAACCCTTGAGGCCTGGGCACCTCTGTTTAATGTCCCTCCTCACCTCAGTTCCTGCAACTTCCTATTCAGCCTGAACTCAGCTTTGAGTTTCCCACTATTGCTCAAATCCCTGAAGAATTTCATCTAAAGTAGGGCTGATTTCTGCTTCAGAAACCCCACCCTTGCCATGGGATCTGAGGGGCCCAAGAGAAGTGGTACAAGAGAGGGACACTTCCTGGCTCAGACCACGGAGACTGACTACCCAGACAGGACACTAGAGTCTGGGGGCAAATTCAGTTCTCACTCTCACTCTCTCTCTCTCTCTACTGGCTCTAGTCCCAGGCTCCAGGCCTCGCCATAGCACACTCACATCTTGCCTGAGCAGCTGTGAAGGGGGGGCTTCTCCAGAGATAGTTCCCCCACTCTGACACCAGACAGCTGGAAGCCGACATCTAGGACCTGCAAAGACTTGGCATAGGCCTGGGAACAGGAGGTGGGGCTGGAGAAGGCTCTGTGGGGGAGGAGGGAGAGAAGTTACTGGAAATAAGTAACTCAGTTTCGTTCCTCTTTCTAATTCTCTGGCACGAGCGCCACCTGCTGTGTGACTCAGGGACAGTTCATCCCCCTCTCCCCCCCAACCCCCTCCACACACAACCTGGAGGAAAAACATCTCCAACCAGGACGGAGAAGACACATTCTTGACTCTTTTCACTGTTTAAAATCACTTATACCATGTGCTTGCACCACACACAATAGGATGGCTCCTTGTAAGGGAAGACTAATCCACCATGCTGCTCCCGCTCCCTCCCTGGCCTTCCACTCATTTATGCTACCTGCCTGCCTCTTACAGAAATTGAAGCTTGTGACCTGTGAACTTGCCCTTCACCTTCCCACTCCTTTTTCACCAACCATGGAGGAGGAGGTGGGCACTCACTTAAGGTGTTTGGAATCCTGCCTGCTTATCAGGCAGTGTCGGGGCTGAGGTCAGAGGGTGCCCTCCTGCACCCCATTGCCTGTGTTTGGTAGGGGCAGGAAGCTCTGTGGAGGCCAGCAGTCCTGTCCTCAAAGGAAGCAGCTGTGTGGAAGGTCAGCAGCAGCTGTTCCCCAGAACACAAACTTCCTTTGACCGGGGTCACAGGGTCACATCTTGGGGGTGGACTCTAGCCCATCTAGAATTCTGCTCACCTTTGGGGCTCCAGGTCATATGGTGACTTTGTCAGCTCACTCTATTATAGTAGCAGAGTGAGGAAGACCCACATAATGTAAAATTATACTGAAAATGGTATATTTCCGTCAGACATTACAGTCCTATAGTAGCCACAGCAACTCCTTCCAGGCTGCCTCTGGTCATCCCCTCCCAAATGATCTGTCCCTTTCCATTCAGGTCCTCTTCTAGAGCATCCTCCCTCCATTCTTAGTTGGAAGGAGGACTTGGAGGCAATCTGTCTCAGCCCCGGTTTCGTGGAGTAATCTGGACCACCTGTTTGCCTTCTGGTGGTGTGGCTGGTGACCTTTCCTTAACAAAGTCTTCGCCTCCCTTCTCCTCCCTTTGCCCAGGCTATTGTATTCTTGCTGTCATGCTCTTCCTTGATCCACCAGATTGAGATTGTCCTGCCCTCTGCGTCCTGTCTCTCCATCTTCCTGGGGCCTCTGACTGGAGCAGGTAGCCTCCTGTTGGGCTTGGGAATGTCTACTGTCTCCCAAGGAATAGGGCCATAGTAGAGAGGACCCCCACTGTCCCAGATGCTGTTTCCATGGCAGAGCCTTTGTCTTCCTTAGGACGACACCAGGGAGGGGTGCAGACAAGTCCCTCATGTTAGTAAACTCAGGTTTTATCATTTCCCTTCCCTGTCCTTTTCCAGTCTTTCCTAAGGGCTGGTTCCTAGCTTTCCTGGTGACCATGGAGTAGGATTCTTGCTGTTAATTCAAATAATCACAGACATTAAAAAACTTAAAATCCTACAATTTTTTTATTAAGGTAGCATTGGTTTATAGGATCACATATGATTTTGGGGTACAGGTTCACACCTCTTTACATCTGTGTTACCACATCACATGCACCACTGAGGCACAGTCATCCTCTCCCTTGTCCATTGAGCTCCCTCCCGTTTCCTATCCTATACCCCTGGCCCTGCCCCTCTTGTAACCTCAATTCTACAGTCATATTTCCAGGGTTTGTTTTGATTTATTTTTGTGTTCCCTTGTTTGTTTCTCTATATTCCACCTATGAGTGAAATCATCTGGTATTTGTCTTTCTCCTTCTGATTTATTTTTCTTAGCATAATCCCTTCCAGTTCCATCCATGTTGCCACAAACGGCAAGAGTTCATCTATTTTTATATATATAAATAGCTGAGTAGTATTGCATTAATCACTGACTCTTGAACTCTTTGTAAAACAAAATCAAACAGAGTAATGGGCTTTTACTTTTATGCTGGAAAGGAGAAGAGAGACCCTAGAGATATTCTTTCAGTTTAGCAAACAAACAACAGTTTCGTAAGTAGTTGAGATTTTAGAAATGGAAGAGGTTAATTTAAATATCATTTTCAGAGTAATAAGTTATCAATGGCCAACTAAAGCTGTACATTTTTAAGGTTTACAGATTCCATTGCACTGGTCACACAGCAATCATTTCTGAATGTCTTAAAAGATGCCTTCATGCAAATTGTACTTCCAGAGATGATATAAATATAGCATAGAACAGGATTATGTATTTTCAGACCAGCAAGATTGAATGTTCTTGATTCACCACTTCATCAGAATCAGCTTTATGAAGCAGAATTATGTCTGATTTTGGCAACTCTAGGACAAGAGGGAGGGTTTCTCATTTTGTTGGGATTTATTTCATTAGCATTTTGTGGGACTTGTTTTTTAAAACCAAACACCAGGATTTCACTAAGGCAATTTAGAAAGGGGATCAAAATAGGCAGGTCTGAAAAACTTAAACTGATGAAAGGAAAAGAGAAAGCAGCATAAATTTTGTAAATTTTTATTTAAATATGAATTTGGACTTGGCCATCTGTTTGGCCAGTGAGGCATTAGCCAATATAGTGCAGACAGAGGATGTAAAGCATTTGTGTTAAGGGGCTCCTTTCTTGTTGAACTTGGAATTCTGAGACCATCACATGAACAGGCTGCAGCCACCGAAAGGCAAGTCCATGCAGAGGAGACTGAGGCTGTGGTTGAGAGTTAGACCATTGTTGGGTCTGTGAGTGAGACCATCCTGCATTAGCCAACCTCAGTCAAGTCAAGAGCTTAATGATCAGCTTAGACAGTCTTGATCCAAAGAACCCTCATCAAAGCCTAGAAATGTGGAAAACAATAAAGGCTAGTTGGGAGAGAGAGATCACAAGTGGGAGATGGGACACATTACGGCTTTTATCTGCATGTTGGAGACAGGGTCTTCAGAGAGAGTTTGGCCCAAGGTAGGGCATGGGGCTGGGCCCTAGAAGGTTCTGTGAGCAGGCTGAATGGAAAGTTACTGGACATAGACTAATTGTCAGCATGGCCTTTAAATAATCTCTAGATTACATACCACTTGCTATTAGGCTCAGAGATAGCTAACATGTCAGAGACGGTTTTTATCCTTCTTGATATTGCTTAGTCCAGGAAGATCTCTTAGCCATTGACACTAAGCCTAAGCCTTAACTTGAAAGAGAAGCTGATAGAATGTTCTATAGGGGCTGTGTCAGCTGTCCATATTTTTTTTTAAAAAAACCTTATCTTTTAAACATTCTTTTAAAACTTCCAAGATTTCATTTTCATGTCTTTATATTTTTGATTCTTTATGAATATCTCTCTAGCCCACAGTTGTCACTCACTTTACCCTCCCTTGGTAGGGCATAATCTATGAGATAATTGAGATGGTTGTTGGTCGGGTGGAGGCAACAGGACAGACCTCACTGAAATGAAGTGATGGAGACAGCAAGATCTGGGTGAAGGGGAACAGAGTACACCTCCACAGTTCCTAGTCTGCCCTGATCCACCATATCCCATATTGGAACTCTTGAGTGACATCCAATGTTAGAGGTTATACCTTCCTTGTTGGATGTTAGAGCATGTAAGGGCTGACTGTGTCTGCTTGTCGGAAGGAGGGATGGCTGATGGCTCTGAGAAGTTCAGATTGGGTCACTTCTTGCCAATCACAGTAGAGGGAGGAGGAAATGCAGCTCTAAAAGAGAAGCTTTCTACTGCCACCTGCTGGTAAAAGCTAGGACCTGCGGGCTGCCCATGAACAAGAGGGGCATAAATACAATGGGAGATTCAAGAAGCTCAGGTAATTGAAAGCAGAATTGAGAATAAACAAAAAAGCACACCCAGGCATGTCAAAGCACTAAAAGCCAAAGTCAAAGAGAACATCTTGAAAGCAGCTAGAGAAAAGAACTCAATGCACAGTGAGAACAAACTTGTCAGTATCACAGATTTTTCACCGAAGACCACACACCAGAAGATAGTAGAACATTATCAAAGCACTGAAAGAAAAATTGTCAACTTAGAATGGCTTTCCAGTGAAAATATTCTCCAAGAATGAAGATGAAATAGAACCATTTGTGGATAAGAGAAGACTCAGGGAATTTGTTGGCAGCAGACTTGTGCTCTGAGAATGTGAAAGCCAGTCTCCAGGCGGAGGGGAGGAACCTACATGGACAGACCTGCAGGACTTAGGAAGAGGAGTGGTCAACTTATAGGTAGAGATAGAATGTGCTTTTTTTCTTTTTATGTCTTTAAAATATACATCTCTGGGGCCTTCCTGATGGTGCAGGGGTTAAAGTCTCAGTGCTATCAAGGTATCCACCAGCCACTGCAGCATGAGCTTGATAGATCCCTGAATGGGGAACCAACCCACATGGCGCAGCAGACCTCTCCTGTCTCACCCACTGCTCCCCTCAGCAGTGTGTTTCAGTAGATCTGCCTATTCTGCTCCCCACTCTGTCTCTGGTGAATCCTCTCACCCCCCACACCTCTGGCCTACACCCCAGTTCTTGTATGTAAAAATAAATAAAATAAATCTTTAAAAATACACATTTCTGTCTAAAGCAAAAATGATACTGTAACGTGGGGCCCATAATGCAACATATTCAAAACTATGGCTTAATGCATGAGGGGAAGGATCCATTCCATTCCCAGGTTTTTTTTTTTTTTTTTTAAAGATTTATTTATTTATGCATACAAGAACTGGGCTGTAGGCCAAAGGTGTGGGGGGTGAGAGGATTCACTGGAGATAGAGTGGGGAACAGAACAGGTGGATTGACTGAGGGGAGTAGCAGGAGAGTCAGGAGAGGTCTGCTGTGCCATGTGGGTAGCTCCCTGGCTGGCCGGGGATGGAACTCGTGATGTAGTGGCTGCGGAGAGCTTCATAGGTTGTGTCTTTTTTTTTTTTTTTTTAACCGTTAATTTTCTTTCTTTTATTTTTTTATTTAAATTTTATTTTTATATTCCCCATACAATTACAACCCCCTTATTTTGACCCCAATCCCTCCTTTCACCGCCCCCTACCCCCCATAGAGTGTCTCTGGTTCATAGTTGTTTGTTGATTTTGATTT